CAAATGAGTTTTAGAACCTTTATTTTCAAACTCTTAAAATTAAAAATATATTTATTCTATTTAGGGGGTATTCAATCATGATTTTAATTGATTTGTTTGGATTGTGAAAGGTCTGTGAATGGATTTATAAATTCTATAGAATTTAGTTTAATTGATTGTGTTTATTGATTTATATGAATTTTGATAGATTTGATTGGATTATTTATTGATTTCTCTGAACTTCATTAGAGTTTATAAATTTGTAAATTAGATAGTTTTTTATTGATTTATATAATTTCAAATATATGCACAATTTGTATGTATATAAAAAATTTCAAATATTTAACAAAGATATTAAAAGTACATTAGTTCTCAAAAAATATATTTATTATTATTCTCATTTTTATTTTATTTTAATAATAATAATATTTTTAAATTTTTATTTTTTGTTATAGTATTATTTTGATCGGATATATTATATTATATATATTCAGCGTAATTAATTTTTATTTTGTAACAATCTATTTAATTGTTATTATTATTATTATTATTTATATGAATTTTTATACAAAAAATATATTTATAAAAATCACATTAAAATTACAATTTTTATTAATTAAAATTAAAAATAAAATAATTAAAAATAAATAAACATAAACTAACATTGTCAAATTAATCGGTGGTTTTTGAAATGGCGGAACTGAAATCGAAATAAGAAAATATAAATTAAAATTATGAAAGGTTTAATTTTGATTTGACATTTCAAAATATTAAAACCGATAATTTTAAGTCGACCCATTCGAGCAAGTTTATTTGTTATTATATATAAATATATAATTTTTAATGTTATTTCAAATGTATAAAACTTTAAAATATTAGTAATTTTTATATTAAATATTTAAATTTTTTTATCTTATTGATATTATTATAATAAAATAATAACTACATATAAAATAATAAATAGTTATTAATGTTATAAATAAAATAATATGTATTTTTTTACTAATTTTAAGAATCCATCGAAATCATAGATTTTTAAAGTACATAGATGGTATAATACACTAAAATTTTAAAAGACTTTCTAAAATCTGAATTGAATACACCCAGATTTTAAAATACTTTTAAAAATTTGGATTGAATACACCAAAATTTTAAAAGACTTTTTAAATTTTGGATTGAATACACTATATTTTAAAAATCCAATTAAATCCAATAAAATCTATATTGAATACACCCCTTAGTCTCAAGAAACAATAAAAAAATTCTTAAAATAAAAGAAAATCAACTATTTCTGAGTATATTTTTTTTAAAAAAAAAAAACTAAATATAAGAAAAATGAATATATTTTTAAGTTTAATGATTTAAAAATAGAGATTTTGAAACTTATTCGCAATTTAAACACGTGAAGGTCAAATATCGTTAAATAAGGACAACCGAAATGGTTAGATACTGAATTTATAAAACCATGAGAGAGTTTTAGAACTGCAGTTGATTTGACTCAATTTTATGAAATCACAAATATATTTTATACAATTTTGCCTAAATTTAATAAAGTCATTTAAAATACAGTCAATTTAAATCCTATACCAGTAAAGGGAGCTAAACTCCTAATATCTTTAGATCTTATTTGCCGCACATGTTCACCTAATGTACTTATTTTGACGATTTAATTTGGAAGCTATTAAGTTCGGCCAAAAAAATATCCAAAAAATACTTAAACAGTTGCAAATAAAAAATACATATGAACACATTACAACCACATAATTGAATTTCTATTATATAGATATATACAAACATCAAGTTATTAAAGAATGACCTTTATGATGGAGTTCCTGAATTTCTATTATATAGAGATATATATGAAATTTTGATACTTTTGCAATTTGATTTTACTTGTAAATTAATGTGTAACAGTATATTTATAATTTAAGTAAAATTAAAGGTATTTTGGTATTAATATATGATTGTTTTTTTTTTTTTAACTAGAATATGAAATATTTTTGAATGAAATGGACAAAAATTATAAAAATTGTACTTTGAATTGGGACGAAGAGAATATATAGTACGAATAATTATTATTTTTATATATTTAGTATTTATTGGGTGGTATCTTAAATATTAGGGAGATTAGAGAATTAATAAAAGTGGTCCATTGCCAAACTAATTGTTCCAAAACTTCCTATTGCTATTTATGGGTGTGACACTGATGTCCAAACATTCCCTTTTATGGGGTCTCTTCTCATTAATTATTACCACCTATATACATACATACATATATATATATATACATATAATTTCATTCAATAATTATACTTTTATTATTTCAACAATTAATATAATAATAATGTGGATGAGATGTTCCAAATAGATGAGATGTTGGCGAGAGGATGAACTCGTGATAGTGAAATTATAAGTTCAAACTTGTGACGCTTTTGGATTTATATGTCACATATGATTTATCTTGTCGGATCTAATTTTAAAATTGACCGAAAGTTTATCCGAAATGCAGTCGACGAGTAGTGGTTGCAAAAAAAAAAAAAATCTATGAGGATTTCCAACATTTATTAATCAATATCTTAGACGTTCTATGGGGATTTCCAACATTTATTGTAAAATTTATTAATGTAAGGCATGCATATTAAAGAGGATAAGAGTGAAACTTATAATTCATTCAAAAATCAATTAGATTTTTAACAAAAATGTTTGCTTGCATTATACTTGATTTGAAATTAATTGAAGTTTTGATTAAAATAACATTTTTTATTTGATTTTTTTTAATTTGAAATAAAAATAAACACAAATATTAAGAAAAAAAAATGCAATTAAATAAAATATCTAGATAAATATATCATCCAAATAATTATTTAAATTTATAATAGCCCCATAAGAGTTATGGACTTGTGATCGGAAGATTATGAGTTCAAAATTTTTCAATGTCGCTTGGTATTATTACTTGTCAAATATCGCTTATTTAGTATAATTTATCTTGTTGGTATGATTTGTTAGTGCGAGAATGAACTTGTAATCATGAAATCATATATTTAAACTATTGACGGTTATTGATTTTGACTGTCATACAGAGCTTGCCCAGTGTGATTTATTTTACTGGTGTAATTTGTAGGTTATTACCAAAATTTACCTAATGCGTATTCGAAGAATACAAATTGAGAGTTCCAACGTTGCTATACATTCTGGATCAACTGCTAACAGTATTTTTTTTATTTCAATTATCGTTTAGTTATGTCATATTATTTTCTTAATTAAATTTACTATTGAAAAATATAATATATATATATATATATGTACTTTAACCAAAATAGTAGGATACTCAAAAAAAAAAATGTAATAGATAAATAATACCTTTGAAAGTTGAAACTAGTTCTAGTATTGTAATTTTAATACATAAATGTAATTAATATTTTGCAAGTCTAGTATAAAAAATATGTTAAAGTATAAAAATGTAAAACTAATTAACAGAATGTACATATAAATATATAATAATTTAATTTAATATATTTTGTAACAACAGTTAATATTTCATCAAGAAATGAAAAATTGAAGTTCCATATTGTTAGATATATGACTTTGAGCAAGAAAAATTGGAGGAGGCAGAATACAACATGATCTATCATGAGTACGGAAAATCAAACTAAATGTGATCTAAAAAATCAAAGTAAATTCAAGTTGAAAAATTGAAGAAAGCCCAAAAAAAAAAAAATTTAAATCATGTCGTATATTGAAATTTTGAAAACTCCGAGCACTATAGCAAAACAACAAAATGGGATAAGAGGAACAATATAGCAAATAGAACTGAAAAAGACACACGAGATGCTTTTATTCTAAGGACAATGAATCCTTAGAGTCATTGCTTTTAAACTAGGTGGCTTAATTTGTTTTACTTTTGTAATAATTGAGAGATAATGAAAATTTACAGTTTTGAAAATTTTAAAGTTGTTCATCTTGTAGATTATGAGTCTCTTAGCATTGTAAATAAATGGGATGTCAAAATAAAAAATGAAGTTAATGTTTATTGGTTATTAGACGATAAATAGTGTGCCATAACTCTTATATATATATATATATATATAACGTCAAAATTCGCAAATTAGGTCCGAAAAGACAAGTCACACTAGACAAATCATGTGTGTCTAGTTACCTAGAGAAGTTGAAGGTTTAAACTCATGACCTCACAGTCATAATTCCACCCCAACACCAATAGGTCATCAATTACGGAACTTTTAGATTCAAGAGTCGTAGTGCTAGCTAGAGGTAAGAAAAAATGTCATATATGACTGCAAATATATTGCCAAATATTGTACCTTTAAATAAGTTAATCTATGCATAATTTCAATAAACTGAGTTGGGATGCAAACTCAAGTCCCGCATTATGAAATTATAATAAGATTACATATTTTATAAGTCTTACGTGTAATTCTACTAATATGAAATATTTTGGAGAAGTTTAAAAGCAAATCTGTACGGGTTCAAACAAAAACCAAAAATATTATACTAATATTGAGTTAGTCAAGTCCTAACAACGGATATTAGAGTCGGATTCGAAATAGTTAGTTGGCGGAGTAGATTGGACGATATTGGACATTGATTGTGGAAAACCTCATTAACGTCATAAATTATATGCGGTAATGTCTTGTGTTGAAAGTCTTTATGATATTGTGATAGTCCCGATAGGTGTGGTTAGAGGGCAATTGTTGAAATGCAAACTTAAGTATGACATATAATTCTACTAATATTAGGTATTTTGAAGAAGTTAAAAAATAAATTTGTACGAATTTGATCAAAAGTAAACAATACGTCGAATTAGTTTTAAAATGCAAAAAGTCTTCTAATGCGAATTTTCACTTTATATATGTTTTACTTTTTATTGTATTTGTGCCTTGATTCACTTGATAGTAAAATTGTTATCTTGGCAACACTTTTAAATGTAGATTGATTTTTTTAATTTCATTTTATTTTTTGTTTTGTGTAATATATTTTAATGTAACAAAGTTAATACTAAAAAATATGAAACAAAGATAGTTTAAAAAGATCAAAATACAATCATATAACATAACTAATACAAACAACAATTCAATATATAGTATATATAACTATTCGAAATCATATATATACAAGAAAAAAAAAAAAAAAAAAAATCAATAATTTTTTCAGACAATGGTAAACGAATTCATTCTTCTTACAGTGCACACGCATTCTCCGCAACATCAACTGCCTTGTGGTTCTTGCATCCCAACAGGCCCCCGGCCCGCCCTTTCGGCCCGCTCTTTTTACCGGCGGCGGCGGCGGCGCCGCCGTTCCTGATTTTCGTACAGCTCCGCGAATTGTTCCTCGACACGTGGCAGCTCACGCTCCCGTCGTGGTGATAATCCGACAGCACCGACGAGTAATCCGCCGCGCTCGCCGTCACCACGCTCCACTGTATACTCGCCTCGCTCGGCGCGTACTGCGACGCGGGGCTCTGACAGCACGACACGTCATCCCCCACCGCCGCCGCCGCCGCCGTCAGCATCGGATACATTGATCCCGTAATATTCTCGATTTCAAATAAATCGGAACTCGCATCGCTCGCCATGTCATCACAAATAGTGCTCGTCCGTGCTGTAGATGCCGGAGGCGGCGCCGCCGCCGCCGGAATAGCGCCGCCCAAACTCCCCGCCGGAATTGCGTCCCACGTCAGCATAGACAGCTTCCGCTCCAAATTCGCCGCCACGTCACCCTTCTGTTTAAAAACCCCCGCGCCAAAAACTTCAATAGAATTTCTAGATTCTTCCGCGCCGCCGCCGGCCGGCGGCGCGTCTGCGACGGAGACAACGTCTTTCCTGTCGAAACACGGCCCTTGGCAGGCGAAGCGCGTGAAGAAACACGACCTTCTAGAAGCCGTCCGCGCCGGAGCCGGCGCGGAACGCCGCGCCGGCGCCATAAGCGCCGTCCGGCTGTTCAAGCTACTGACCTCCGAGCACATTGACGGCGGCGGCGGCGGCGGCCTAGCCGGAATATTATTATTATTATTACAATTATCCACGTGCGCGAATTCCTTCATCGGATTCTCCGAACGGCGGCGGTGGTCTAATTTGACGGCGTTGAAATACTTATCTGCTCCGAATACGCTGATTTCGGTGTCCTTAGGGAACGCGAAGGCGCCGCCGGAGCGGTTTTGGATAGGCTTCGGGACGTTGAAAACGAAGCCGTGATCTTCGGGGGGTTTAAGGTTGTACGAGAGGGAGTCGATTCGTAGGTTGTTGTTTGCGGCGGCGGCGGCGGCGGCTGATTTATGAATTTTGGCGGCGGTGTCCTGAGGTGAAATTTTGTGGAGCAGAGTGTCCTTGTCGGCGTCGAGGTAGCAGGCGAAGGAGGCGACGCGGAGGCCGGCGGCGGCGCCGTCGTCGGCGGCGGCGGCGGAGATATCCATGAGATCTGAGGTTTGTTGTTTTGTGGAGAGGGAAGGTAAGAAATTAAGGAGAAAGAAAGGTTTGATGAGAATCTGTCCTTTACTTCTTAAATTGAGACTAGCACAGTTATGTTAGACAAAATGGTCCTAAACTTTACCAAATGTTGAGCTCTCTCTCTTATACTCCTACCGTCCAATATCTATTTATCCGTTTTGTTTTTTTATAAAATTTTAAAAATATTAATATTATATTAAAATAAAAAAGTAGCAATAAAAATAAAAAAATTAATTAATTTTATTAGTATTTTATAATATAAAAGTAACAATATTTGTGTAATATATTATAAATTTCAAAGGTATTTGTAATATTAAGTAAATATTACAATTATAAAAAAATAAAATGAATATTTTGTTATAGGATGGACTAAAATGAAAATATAAATAAATTGTTAAGGGAGTACTTCATTTGTCCATAAAAATTATAGTACTCCCTCCGTCCCATTGAAAGGTTATAATTTTTTATTTTCGTCCGTCCCAAAACAAAATTATCATTTCCTAATTTAGTAATTGTACTACCTATCTAAAATAATAAATACCTTTTCAACTTACAATATATTAAACAAATGCCACTATTTTATATTACACCATACTAATAGGGGTATTTTTGTCTTTTTTACTACAATCTAATATAATACTAATATTCAAAAATCTACGTGCAAAAAGCAAACGTAACCCTTCCAACGGGACGGAGGAAGTATAAAAATTAGGCTAAATTGAAAAAAATCTACTAGTGGTTTCACAAAATTGCACGAGATCTCTTATTTTTTTCAAAATTGTGTCAAACTCCATCGTGGTTTCATAAATTTTGCGTCTAATCCTTCGGTCGTCCTTATTTAACAGTTTTTAATCTGCACGCACTCAAATTGGGAATGAATTTCATATTACTAATTTCTAAACTTCTAAAATTATAAATATATTTATTTATGTTATATTTAATCTTAAAGAACATTAAAGAAAAACTTTTAAAACCAGATAAAAACAACTATTTCGGAGTATATTTATTATTTATTGAGGTTAGATAATAAGAATTATGAATATATTTGTAATTTCAATAGTTTGAAAATGAAGATTCTAAAACTTTGGGCGCGTGCAGCTCAAACGCTGTTAAATAAGGACGGCCGAGGGATTACACACAAAGTTTATAAAATTATGAGAGAGTTTGACGAAGTTTTCAAAGTATGGAGATTTTATGCAATTTCGTGAAATCACGTGTGGATTTTGGGTAATTTAGCTTAAAAATTATACTATGTACCAAATCTAATAGGTCTTTGAGGTTACCCTAAGGGTGTGTTTGTTTGGAGGATTGAATTTAAATTCAACTATTCATCCAATATTTTTCCCCAAAAAACATCAAATCAAACACCTATTTTTTATTTTTTTTATTATACTAAAAATCAATTTTACATTCAAAACATCACATCAACACCTATTTATATCACATCATACAACTATTCAAATTTAAAATTTTTACTATTCAAATCTCAATCCAAAATTCAAACTCCGAAACAAACACTTAGTAGATTAAAAGATAATAATATTTTATTAGTTAGTGGAAGTGTGTAAGTTTTTTATATTTTGGCTTTTTTACTTTATATACTCCCTTCGTCCACCGCCAATCTATCCATTTTGCCATTTTAGTCTGTCTATCGCAAATGTATCCATTTCATTTTTTTTAGTAAATGTACATTCCACTAAAATATAAAATTACCCACCCTTTATATAATATTATACAAATGCCATCAAATAACACCACTAAATACCATAAATGTTAAGGGATATAATAGTCTTTATATATATCAATTGTACCACATATCAATATAATACTAATATACTAAAATCTACGTACAAAAAGTAAACGGATAAATAAGCGGTGGACGGAAGGAGTATAAAGTATTTATATGTATAACAATATTTTGTAATTTAAATAAAAGTTAAAAAGTATTTGACTTCAGTGTATAATTACTAGAGATACTTTGAAATGGAACAAATAAACATGATATTTTAAATTGAACGGAGAAAGTACTTTCTATTTTAATTATTTGTTTACTTTTTAAAAAATACGCATCACATTAAAATCAATGTCTAAACAAAAATGTATTATTTTTATACGACGAAGAGAGGATATTTTATCATTTTTAATAATATAAATATAAAATACTTTTTTCATCCTTAATAATATATTTTATAGTATATATTTACTTTTTATGCAAAAATTAAAAAATAATAAGTATTTAAATTGTATTTTTATAGTATTTTTATGTGCAATTATTATTATTTTTTTTTTTTTTGCATTTATATGTAATAGTATTTATGAAAGTATTTTTTATATACCGATACATTTATTTATACTTTAGCATAAAAAAAATCCATCACACTAATATTATGATAAAGTACTACTCTTTTTCCGAGATTTGTAATTTTTTTTCATCACTTAAAACTATTGTCATTCTCATTTTTTCAACAAAAAAATTTACTACATTTTACTCCCTCCGTCCCATATAATATGGGTGTATTATTGTAGACACAGAAATTTAGGTAAAGTATAATTAGAAAGTAATTAAGAAGTGTATTAGTAAAAATAATTATTATTCAGTAAAAATAATTATAGATTAAGATTAAGATAAGTAAATAGTTTAATTAAAATTAAAAAAATTATAAAATTTAAAATTTAAAATGTGATTAAAGTGCATAATTATATTTCCAGAAATAGATATGACAAGTTACGTGGGACGGACGAAAATAAAAAATAGGGACAAATTACATGGGACGAAGAAAGTATTATTTTTACTATAAAAAGCAAAAAAAAAAAAAAAAAAAACTAAAAGTACATACTACACACCAATATTAAAACTCTTGCAAAAAAAAATAAAAAAAATTGAACATATTTTTAAATGATGGATGGGATATTGCATTTCATCTAAAATAATAAATCATATTATTCTCTATTAATTATATTTTCGATGATATTTTAATCAGTAATATTTTTGACGCGAAATTTAAAAATAATACTCCTCCGTCTACAAACTAATGTTCTATTTTTTTATTTGGGACGTCCAACAATTATTGTCCTATTTCCTTTTTTTAAAAATAAATTTTATATTTTTACCCTTCATTCATTTATTACTTTTAATCTCTACCATACACTTAAGGGCAAATTTATCCATTCATAACAAAAAGACAATTACCTAAAAAATCGTGCAAATATACTTTAGGACAATAGAAAATTGACGGAGAAAATAGTATTTTAAGTGTATTGAATAGTTAAAAATAATGTTAAAATAATTGTCTTTACTAATATGATAGTAAAATAAAAGTATTTGTAAAAAATAATAAGATTTATAATACTAAAAAAATTATTTTATAATTAGATCATTCAAAATAAATATATATATTTTTTTGAATAGACAAGTGCTATATATCACACATACAATAATAATATTTTTTATTTTAGTAAATTAAAACAAAATTTATAGTTCCTCAATAGACAAAAAGATTTGTTTAATATTTTATATTAAATGTTGATTTTTTGAAATAATAAAAAAAATATACTTCCTCCATCTCATAAGTAAATATTCATTTGCTTTTTGAACGTAATTTTAGAAATATTAGTATTATATTAGAATATAGTAGGAATAAAGTAAAAATGACTAAAATAACTTTATTAATATATGTGATATAAAGGTAATGACATTTGTGTAATATATTGTAAATTGTAACGGTATTTATAATATTAGGTAGATAGTACCGTTATTAAAAAGAGAAATAGATACTTTGTTATGAGACGGACTAAAATGAAAAATGGATACTTCGTATATTGGATACACCCTTCTTTTTTTCCTTTTTTTTTTTTCAAAAAAATTTATTTAAATTTATTTAATTTAATTTATATATATATATATATATATATATTTAGTGATGTGCGTTGGGTGGCAGCATAGGATTCGCAGTTATTACATGATCACCGGTTTAGGAATGTGCATTTAAAGCGCGCCCGGGCGGGCCGGGCCGGGCCGAAAGCTACGGCTACTGGACAAGACGAGTGGAGGAACGGGGTTGAACGGCAGCCACATGTTAGGGTGCGTTTGTTTAAAGAATTTTGAAGATTTTTCACTATTTATGCTTGTTTCGTCCCATATTTATTTATCCGTTTATTTTTTACACAAAATTTTAAAAGTATTACCATTATATTGGGATAAGTATAAATAAATGTAAAAAGATTAAACGAACTTTCTTAGTATCGTACGAGGTAAATGTAATAACATTTGTGTAATATATTGTAAATTAAAAGGGTATTTTTAATGTTAGATAAACAGTACAGTTACTAAAAAAGAAAATTGATATTTTGTATGAACAGACCAAAATAAAAAAAAATTGAATAGATTAATGTTAAAGCCATCTCCAACCCGTCAACTCCATTTATCCAGTTTTAACTCTAAATATGCAATTGCTACAGTAATTTTATTCCAACCATAACTCCCTTTTTCACTATTATTCTTCAAATATTCATTTTTCCTATTATTTTAAACAACTTTTTATTTTTATAATTTAAAATAATTTTTTTAAATTTAGAAAATAAAAAATAAATTTTGAAATTAAAATTAAAAATTTTAAAAATTAAAATATATGTATATATATAGCAACGCCATTTTTTGGCGTTCCTACAGTGCAACGCCAATGGCGCAAAATTTGGCGTTGGTTGGAGACAACCAACGCCAAATGACCCAGCGCTCGGTTGGAGATGCTCTAAGAGAAAAAGGAAGTATAAAATTTTCTTTCTATAAATATTAAATTGAATACTTAAGTTTTATTTTTTATATTAAAATTTAATTTTACGTTTAAAACATTTGAATAAATTTGTATTTATATAACACCGTAAAACTATTTCAATTTAATTTTTTTTACTATTCAAATCTCAATTCAAAATTGTAAAGCACGAGCAAATACTCCCATAATGTATCTTGAGATTGATTATGGTATTGATTAGAGTTATTTAATAATTAACACTTATATTAATTAGTCTTAATCAATAAATTGTAATGATATGAACAATATATAGTATTGAAACAATTTATGATAGGTGCATTTATTTTAAAAGATTGAATT